TTACAATCTACTGTATCTGCACACCATTCCATCTTCTAGTCACACACACACGAGGCACACATAATTAACACTGGCCTTTCTCCTCCCCTCTGCTTCTTTCTCTGTTGGTCGGTCCGTCTGTCTGTCTCCTCCTCCCACTCATTACAATCTACTGTATCTGCACACCATTCCATCTTCTAGTCACACACACACGAGGCACACATAATTAACACTGGCCTTTCTCATAGAGGGGATCCATCTCTTAAAAGGGGGGAGGAGGGTAGAAAAGAAATGAGAGAATAAAGGTAATGGATGGAGGAGAAGTGAAGGCAGAAATTGGTAAATGGACAGAGGAGGTTATCACGGGAGGTGATCAGAAGAGGTATACAAAGGATTTACATTGAAAGAAATAGATGAGCCGCTTCACTGATCACTGGGCTGAGGCACTGTTTGCCCTGATTGTTGCAAGATTGAATTTCCCTTGTTAGCTTTATGGCTCACACTCTGTTCAACAATGTAATGAAAGAATAGAAAAAAACACACACCCTGGATGCAGGTAGAGCTCAACACACACACTCACACACACACACAAACACACACAACGCCACACAGAATACTATCCTTGTGGTTCTTATAAATGTTGACATGATGAGGGATAAGAGGGAACAGCTGAAGGTGGTCTGCATTTTATTCAGATTAGACACACGCTCACACACCCTCACTTGAAACCGTTTATGCCTCCAGAGCAGTGGTTTGAAAATAAAAATAATCTGTAGGTGTGTAGTTTAGTGTAGGTCGCACAATATCTCTCCTTGAGACTCGTGGCTCAAAACTACATTTGCAGCTACAGACACAACTCACCCTAATCACTGACCAAAGTGGTTAATGCAGACACCAGGTTTTGTCAAAGAGATGCAATTTCAATAATCTTCTTAACTTCTTAACTATTGTGAATTGGACAATGTTATTGGAGTGCAATGCTAAATCTGTTTGAGCTGATATAGGTTGGCTGAGCCAAAATCACCTTTATCATATCCTGAAGTCTGAAACTGCCCTTTGAAGGTTTGATCCAAAGAGACAACAGATCAAAATCTCCTCACTTTGCAAACATCCTCATTCCTAAGATTTAAAGCTCAGACTGGTCCTCTCAAAGATACATGTACAAGAAATCCAGCAGACACACACGATCTAACCTGAGTTGACCTTCTTCCACGCATGTGAGCTTTCTTTTTGGTTTTGAAATCATTTTCAGTTCAATAACATTGAATATTGTGCTTCCAGATCAGTTTAATTGAAGTCACAAACACTCTCAAACATATGCCAGGGCAGAGCTGGCGTGTCAATGTAGAGAGGTAATTATTTGCTTGGCCAGTCTGAGCCTGTTCTGAGTCTCAAGGACGGACTCGCCTGCAGCTACAGAACCAACCAACACTCGGA